GCTGCGGTGTATTCCCAGGCATGGATGAGGGAGCAGGCTTGAGCGGTCATGACCGATTGAGGGATGAGTACGCCTTTCTGTACAATTGTCTGTCAGCAACCCTTTGGTTAATAGTAGAACGGGAGATTTCCTACAGGACGGTTTGTGGTTCCGGAAGTGTAGAGCATCATGCCCGCCTCTCCCGGTCCGGACTTGGTGTCCAGAGTGACTTTTTCATGCTGGCTTCCTCCTTGGAACTTGGTCAGCTCAAGAAGAGTTGGCTTAGAGTCCAATTCCGTCTTTAGCACCTCCTGTGCCTTATTGGTGAACTTGGCGGAGGAGAGGAGCAGCAGGGCTTCGCTGTGGTTCAGGATGTACTGGAGCTCCGGAGCTGGGAAAGCAGGAGACAAGGGTACGGCAATAGACTTGGCCGCCAAACATGCCAGTAGAGTTACTTGTTACGGAATTCCATGTTAGTATCTTTTGCCGTTCAAAATCAATGGCTGGATGTAGATAGATGACTGGCTTACCTACATAATCGTAGCTGTTTTCTACCAAGAAAGCGATGCGTTCGCCGTTAAGATCTTCCTTGCCAGCGGTCTCATATAGCCTGTTCCGGGTCTTGTAGACATCCTCTAGGAGCTCGCCATACTTGAAAGTCCTTCCGCTGTTGGAGTGAACGACGACAGTCGACTCGGGGTCATGACGAGAGATGGCCTCGAAGACGGGCAGTTTGGGGAGTGTGGACGCCATTCTGAAGGCACCGACCGATCTGCAGTTGAGGTATCGAGGAGGGGAAGCAAAGGCGGCAGGAGAGGTCTTGTTAAGCAACCGGGAACCAAGTCGCCTGGTGCCGAGGGTTATAAAGGGTAGGGTCATTGGGAAAGAAGAAAGAGGGCCCCGGAGGTTGGGCGGCGGGTACTACCTTGGCCACTTTATATTGCGATGATCTGGGACTGGAGACGGTACGCGTGCCCTGTCTAACGGAGCACGGTTTAGGTAGGTGGTGAATTGGTCGGTCGGCTTACACCAACCCGATGTCGAGTTCACAAGGCGCTTCTCAAGTGCTGATCTAGAGGTACCTAGCCCCGGCCCGGTGGAAATGGTGGACCGGAGATACAACAAGGATTGGGCGTCATGAATCCAAAACCATGGCACCAAGGAAGTGGAACAAGAGAATGCCGAGTCGGGTCGCCTCTTTGACCTCCTCATGGTTGCACTGGCAACGCCAACGTTCGAGCTATATCACCTCGTATGTCAACAAACATCGCCATGAGGAACAGTATTTGTACACCACCTCACACTAAATGCTAGAGACATACTAAGGAACATGTTTTCTCCTGGTGCTCCAAGTATCCTTTGGGGAATTCCCGTCCACCCTCCATCTCCCGCTTCGGCAATACGGTAAAAAGATGGCGCCTCCCGTCCTACAGCGGCTTTCTGTCCCACCCCACAGTTGATGTCCACCCCTGCAGCCGAAAGATCGTGGGGCGTTTTTACATGGGGTGTAAACAATGGGGGTCCCCGCGAATTCCCATTGGCTTCTGTCATCCAACCTTTGGTCAAGCTCTCCTCTGCCCCTCCACCACGAACAACTTTGAAGAAGTTTGTTGATCTCGAACATCATCACCATCATTCGACATCCCGACAAACTTGCAATTTATGCTCAAATTGACGCGGTCATTTGCGAACTAAAGCCAAACATCGACACGCCCCGCGCCAACTGCATCAAAAGCGCAAGCGCATAGCCACCCGACCCAAAACCTCCAAGTTCCCTAGTCTTCCGGCCGATACCACCCCGGATCTACTTCTATGTTGCGCCGCACCGTCTTCGGCCTCGCCAGAAGCGCCACCAGCTCCGTAACCTCGTTGACCGCCTTCCGACCACTCTCCACCACCAGCACCATGTCTTCCTCGGGGACGGAATCCCCTTCTACTACCCCAATGGCGGATGCGATTCGTGAAAAGGTTCGTTTCCCTCCTCCCTCATGCGTCCTCCCCCTTCATCCCTCTGCCCTCGTTTTCAAGAAATGTTCTAACCTCATACCCCTCCCTCACAGATCACCGCCAACCTGCAACCACGCACGCTCCAAATCCACAACGACTCGCACCTCCACGCCCACCACTCCGCCATGCGCGGCGTCACCTCTCAGGAGACGCACTTCCGGGTGATCATTTCGTCGGACGCCTTCAGGGGAAAAATGCAGCCGGCGCGCCATCGGTTGGTATACGGATTGCTCAAGGACGAAATGGCCAAGGAGGGCGGGATCCATGCATTGCAGTTGCGGACGATGACGTTGGAAGAGGAGGAGAAGAGACAGCAGAAAGAGGAGGCAGAGGAGAAGGCGAGGACGTGTAAGGACTAGGGGGAGGAAGAACTGATGTGGAAGGGATAAGGGATGGTTGGGTACCAGTCTGAACTGGAAGCCACCAACATGGCGGGAACGTACTGTGAGCGGGATGAGGATACGGAGGGGTTGCCGAATGGCGGAATAGGGAGCACATGATGGCGCTTCTGGTGTTGCCCTAGCTGGAGATCAGAGCTGCCCGGGGAGGAGGTACTTACCTCTGTTGGGTCACAAAAAGGAAGGAAGGGAGAGCGAGGGGAAATAACCCCAAGAGGAAAAGAACATAGACAAATGATACCCATGAACCTGATAGGTCACATCAATCTTGATTCATCTGCGCCAGGCAGATGCCGTGGTAATGGTGGGTGATAACTGCCCCAAGAAGGCCAGGATGCGTTTTCCAGGAAGGAAGCAAGGAAGGAGTGGGAAGCTGTCCGAGTTTACATGGGCAGGTTGGAACGACAGAAGGTGTAAACCGCTTGGAAATTTCCAATCCCATTCAGACCTGGTCTGGCTTCGCCTGGTAATCCCTTCTTCTTTCTCTTTTCGTCCTCTCAGACTTCTCTCTCGTCCTTGTTTCTCGCCGGGCTTTTTTGTTCTGGGTCTCTCCTTTTCTTTTTTGTTTCTTGTTCCCTTTCTTTTTTCTTTCTTTCTTCTCTGTCTCGTCAACCGGCAAGCATCGCCAACAAGCCCATCGCGCGCTTATCGTTACGATTATCCACAGCTGCCCATCAAAGCCCGCAATGACAGCAATGTCGATGACCCGTCCTCGATCTCCAAACAAAAACTCGGACGCCAGCTAGCGGTTATTTTACGCTTCTTTGGTGCTGTAAGCGTACCTTAGCCGTACAGCTGACCGTCCGGCTTCATTTTTTTTGGGAGCGAGCCGTCGCAAGCCACGAACCGAGGATTTTCATCATCATTGGTTCTTAAGCTGAATTGCATCCTCCCATGTACAAACAAGCAAGATTGTCCAAAAAAAAAAAAAAAAAAACACCAGTATTATGTCTCGTGAGTCGAAGGAAATTCCTCGAATTTTTCCTGCGGTCTTGCGCGCTCGAACCTTTGGCATCCTCTGCTCTTGGCACTAATTCCAACAGTGAGCAACCTCCAAATCGGTTACAGTACCGTTACGGCCATGACATCTCGTTCCTCTTCCAGACCGCCCGTCTCAAACTGTCTTGTCCAAGAACAACGCAGCGAGACTACTATGGAAAGCACCGACGATCTTTGTGAACGATGCAGGGAGATTGACTTTAACAGTCTCTTTGATAGCACTTCGCTGAAGGCACGAACATGGGGAAAACTAAGTACCCGCGCCAGACACTGTGGCCTGATAGATCTCGGTGTTCTCAGAAAAGACGCGATATGCATACTTTGCCGTTTCTTCTACTCCGCACGTTGGCCCCAAGCACCTATGACTCCCTCCGCCGACCACTACCATCTGCGGCTGTTCTCAACGATTGAAGTTTCGAAATTATCGTTTCCAAAGCAAGATCTTCTTGGAAAGACCGTGTGCAGCGTTGTCCCAGGGAGGCTATTAGATTTCAACCGCAAGACTTTGGATGACGGTCGCGAGGCTTACTATGTCTGCGAGCCCACGCTCAGGGCAAACGGATACTTTCTTCCTGACGAATCGGCACCGACATCACCAGATGACAGCTACAAAGGCATTTTCTGCCTACCTACAGGGCGGCGCGTTCTCTCCAGGCATATCAACTTCGACTTGATACAGGGCTGGCTCCAGCAATGTGATCATGATCATATCGAGAGTCGGCCCAACCGCAACATAACCCATTCTGCTCCGCTACGGTGTATCGACTGCTTTAGCCGGGAAGTCGTTAGGCTGCCCCCTGGGACCGATTACGTGGCCCTCAGCTACGTCTGGGGCGGTATCTCGGCGGCTGGCATGTTGAAAAGGGAGCAGGGCACGGGGAGGCTTTTCGTACCAGATGATGTTCCTCAAGTCATCGGAGACAGCATTGTCGTGGTAAAGAGCATCGGAAAGCGTTATCTTTGGGTTGATCAATGCTGTATTGACCAACATGACAACGAGGACAAGATGGCCCAGATTCAGAATATGGATAACATATACCAGGGTGCCTACCTGACCATAGTGGCAGCCGCTGGTAAAGACTCCACCTATGGACTTCCCGGAGTCAGCCGGAGGCCAAGAAGGGAGCAGCTTTATGTCAATACCGGCTCTTATTCCCTGGTCGGATCCCTTCCTACCGCCCATGAGGTAATCCGAAACTCGATCTGGGCCACGCGGGGATGGACATATCAAGAGACTGTCTTAGCCCGCCGACTTCTGATATTCACCGACTACCTAGCACACCTCGTGTGTCCAGCACAGATATGGTCCGAAGATAAAGCTCTTCCCAGACGGCCTACCGATTTGACCACCGCTAGCAGACTTAGAGACGGGGCTGTTTCTCATGAACCTGTACCGGTGCTATCTCAAATATTCGAACTCAAAAGGTATCGACGGGGGGAAGGTGACCTCCGCGATATGTTCCGCCATTTTGAACAATTTTCATCAAGGGATCTAACTTACGAAGGGGATGCTTTCGACGCCATCAGAGGCCTACTGTCACGATGCCCCTTTTATACGTACTATGGAGTTTTGCTGCAAAAATGTGGCGAATCGCTGGAGGACACTTCACAGCAATCCAGACACAGAACAACATCATTACCAGTGGAATTCTTTCAATCCCTTTGGTTCAGCTTTGAGCCTTCGGAGGGAAATTTTGAGGTACGACGACGACCAGAGTTTCCCAGTTGGTCATGGCTCGGTTGGAAAGCTCAGAAGGGGACTAGCTACAATTCCAACATCAATCCAAGTCTCAGCAATCAAGAGAACTCCGACTACAGGCTTGAGCGCAAGGCAATCTTTTGGGCTGAGGATCAGAACGGTGCTCACGTACAGCTGATGGATCTCTTACCGTCATCAACAACCCCTTCGGCATCCTCATCCGATAATAGCACAAGAATTATCCCAGAGTTGTCGACGTATCTATGGGTGGAGAATATGGTGCTCCAACTTCAGTTTCAGGAGAATCACGAGAAGTGGCCCGAGTATCCTGATGAAGGGTATCTTAGGGTAAAATTCGAAAACGATGGCGTGAGGGGCCGGGTAGATTTGGTTCATAGGCCTCGGACGCGGGATGATCCCGTATATCAGAGACTGGTGACAGAGGCTTGGGATTGTCTTCTTCTTTGCTGCACATTCTTCGATATGAATTTCCTCGTGCTAGAGTGGTCGGATAACAACACGGCATACAGAGTTGGAACGCTGAAGCTGCTCGCTTCTCCCGACAGATATCAGGCTTTGTTGGAACGGGTTCCGCACTCTGTTCGGAAGATAAGACTAAGTTGACTCGCGTTGTAGAAAAAAAAAAAAAGGGGGTGTTTACGCCTCATGACTCTGTTTCCATCTTTTGCCTGTTATTCCCCTTCACTCTTCACTTTCCTTTGGCTCTCAGATTTCTTATCTCTTTCTTTTCGGTTGGTAAAGCATATATGATTGGAGCTTGGAGATGCCCGCTCGGGGCCGGTAAGATGATCGAGACCTAAGAAGTACACTACCGCATATGGAAGGAGGGAAAGAGAGGACACACCTGAAGGAAGGAGCGAAGAACCTCCGAGTCGGTCATGCGGAATATGGCTTCGGTTGCAACGTGTGGAAGGTGCATCTCGTTTGCAGTTTTGAATTTCAGAAATATTGAGACCTCACATAGCGGGGCAGATCATTTATTCTTCTTTCTTCCTTTCATTCTCGGCTTTTTTTTCTCTCGGAGTCTTTCGCCTGTTCGTCATTCCTTTTTTTCTTTTGCTCTTCCGTTCCCATCGACGAACACTCAACCCAACGCAAAATCTTCCACAGAATCGTTACGTCGCTTTTGGGATGGCAGACCGGATCAGGCAAAATAAGACGGCGGCTAGCCCATCGCGTACTTTTCATCACGCGTTCCAAAACGCACTCTGACAGCAATTTCATGGTCTGATTCAAGCCACGAGCCAAGATTTTGCCCGTCATAGATAAGCGCGCTTCGCCTCAGGACAACCCACGATGTATCGTACTGGTTGATGCCAGCATTTACACCTTCGGCTAGACCACAAGCATTGATGTTTTGAGCTGAGTTCCGCCTGCTTCACTGGTTGGTCAGACTTCTTCAACCTCGACCACCAACCTGCTTCCGCTATAGCGATTGGATGGACGCACTAAAAGTGTCGTTGTCTTGCGGCTGAACGCTTGGATCTCCATCTCTACCTTACGTTGGTTCTCCGTTGATTTGGTTCACTGCCCAGCGTCACTGTTTAATATCCTACTGCCATTTCTCGCCCAAATAAGAAAAACCTAACGAAACGCGCATAAAAGAGGCTGATGCTTCGGTGGTAAGAATCGCCTACCTGACCTTCCAGTATCCGTTCACTCCTGCACGAGGCAAACTTACTTCACGGGTAGGCATGGACCGTTTCGGTGAACAGAGGGTCCTTGACTTGGGCAGCAACTGGAAGCACACTTACGAGGTCCACAGCTGCCGCCACTGCGCCAGGATTGTCCTAGATGAAGCTGAGCTAAAAGCAGGCAAGGGCGTCGGGGGACAGGTTCACTTAGCCGACAATATCTCTGATGCGCTGCTAGCGCGAGATGAAGGATGTCCTTTGTTTGGATATCTCCTTCCAAACTTGATGGACAAAGGGCTCTCGCTCGACGTATTGGACATTGATGGCTCCAAGACAGTATACGGATTACTTACTGGCAGAGGGCTTACGTTGTCCCATAAGCTGGGCGGAGAGGATAGGCTTCCCTCGTTTGGCAACTTGAAGGTAATTTTCTCATCGGGTAAGTGTCTGAGGAAGATCATCTCCACTTGCCGTGCTAGATTTTACTGACAACCACCAGGAAAACCAAGTGAATCATTAGATTGCGACCCATGCTCCCCGGAAGCTTTCCGGCTCTCGCGCAACTGGATCTCGACATGTCTCTCTTCCCACCCGCGCTGCCGCCTACCGCCATCATCATCTGAAGCACATGCATTCACGCCCACCCGGCTCCTCCAAGTCAGCGAACACGGCGTAAAACTTGTGAAGTCCTCTAGCATGGGTGACGAAGCCCAAACATGGTGTGCGCTAAGCTACGTCTGGGGCGGCGACCAACCCGTCAAGACCACCCAAAAAATCAAAGCAGCCCACTACAACGATATCTCCTTCGACAAGCTTCCCCGAGCAATTCAAGACGCTGTTCGGGTGTGTCGGGGCCTGGTCATTCCCTACCTGTGGGTCGACGCCCTCTGCATCATCCAGGACGACGAACATGACCTCAGAAGGGAACTCGGCAAGATGCCTAAAATATATCAACACGCTACCGTAACTATCAGTGCAGCGTGGTCGAGAAAGGCTGATGATGGGTTCCTTTACCGTCGCGGACATAAGTATCAGCTTTGCCCGCCGGTAAAACTGAAGGTCGTGGATCGGTCTTGGCAGGGGTCCATGTCTCATCACGGAGAAGACGAGGAAGAAAACCAGGAGAAACAAGCAAGGGCGACAGAGGCATACGCCTATGAGACCCCATCCATGTACCGAGACCCCATCAGCTCGAGAGCTTGGACGTACCAGGAGCACGCCCTCTCCCCGCGGGTGTTGCTCTACCGCAGCACGCTTCTAGAATGGAGCTGCAGAACGATTTCTGACTCCTATGGCATGCTTGAGTCGCACATTCGTGCGCGGAAAGCTGAGCAGCAGTCGTCTCACAATTCCGACCCGTTCTTCGTGCTATCATCGTCCCAGCCGTGGTCCAGTATCGTGATACAATACTCCAAACGTTATCTTTCCTTTACCTCCGACAAGCTGCGTGCCTTGTCCGCTATCGCCCAGGTTTACCATCAAGAAACGGGGAAGAAATACCTGGCCGGATTGTGGAAGGAGGACTTCCCGGCGGCGCTTTGCTGGTATGCGTCGCCGGAGGAGAGTAATAACGCAGATAAAGGTACAAATCTCGACTTTGGTTCATTTTTCACGGCCCCCCGAAAGCGGCCAGCTGGCTATCGAGCCCCCTCCTGGTCTTGAGCATCCATCGACGACGCCGTGTTTATGTTTCCCGCCGCCGATGAGGTCAAGCAGGTTCTCCGACCAGCGCCTGGGGTGAACATCTTCGGAGCTAAGATTACCCCGGCTTATGCTGGCGGGGAGTTCGACTCTGTCGCTTCTGGGTATCTTGACATAGAAGGGCCTATGGGAGAAGTGACAGCCTCGATGGCGACCCGGCTTATGCGGGGGAGACCATCATCGCCAAGCTTTGTTTCCGGAGAGGGAAAAATAAAGGTCCCGGTGGGAGGGCAAGGACATGAAGTGGTGGTGGTACTTGATACTGCTCCCGAAACAGAAGAAGAAGAAGGAGTCGAGAAATATGGGAGCGGTAGAACTGGCGTATGGCTCCTCGTGTTGACTGAATTCGTAGGGGTGATGGAGGAGGAGGTCGAGGATGGGGCAGAGAATGCCAATCAAGTCGGCAACGAAACCATCGACACCGCAGCGTATGCTGGGCTGGTGCTTGTGGAGGATGCCCAGGGGCGACCAGATACGTTTCGCCGTATAGGCTTTTTCCAGTGCTGTTATGCCGCAGGTTTTGGAGATGAGTATGATGATGGCTGCTCGGAACTCTGGAGAGAGTTTGGAATCAAAAGGGTAACCATCGTTTGAGAGATAGTAGTCTTTCATCATAATGTGAGTGATCTTTCCTAGGGAGGAGTCCTTTCAGTCCTGATAAGGCCGTGTCTTGCTTCTGGCATACATCAGTACCCAACAAACAGTCAATATATACATACCATAATCCAAACATTTCTATCATGGAAACCGCTTAACCCGCTTACCGCCCATTACTACCCTCCGGAACCGGGTGACTCGAGCTAGCAGCAGCAGCCTTCTCCTTCTCCGCCCTCTCCGCCGCCTCCCTCATCTCCTGCATCTTCTTCTTCCTCACAAACTCAACGAAATACTGCGCCCTCAAATCTCTCCCAGTATCCTTCACTTTTGCCTTTCCCTTGCCCTTATCTGTTCCCTTATCCTTGCCTTTACTCTTCACAATACCACCTGATCCAACAACCCCCGAAACAGCGCTACTCGTCACCCCAACCCCGACCGACCCTGATCCCGACCCCATCCCTGATCCCGAAGCTGAACTAGATGGGATTGGTGTTCCCACCGCTGGCTTCCTCTGCAAAAACTTTCTGCTACTAGTAATATGCGCTAACCTCGATAGGTTCGAGGAAGTTAACCTTGAACTAGAACTTGAAGAACTTGAAGAGTTCAAGCTGGAGTTGTAGATGGAGTTTCGCTGACGTTGTAAGCGTGGAGGAAGGCTGGGTTCGGGGATACTATCTGCGTTGCTGGTTTGGGTTGAGAGGAAGGGGTTCGGGTTCTGGTTGACTAAGTGATGATGGACTGCGGCTGTGGTTCCAGTAGTGATGGTAGTACTAGCTGGCCGTGACGGGCCGGGAGGAAGGGGAAGTGAGAATATCTTGGTCTTGGTCTTGGTGGCGCTGCTGGAAAGGAGCTTTGAGCGGGTTGTGGGGGAGGATGGGGCAAAGGGGTCGGGAATACTATCTGCGTTGCTGAGTTGGCTGAGCATGGGGAGGTTGGTGTTCGGGTTGGTCAAGTTGGTGTTAGTGGGGATCTGGGTGATAAGAGGACATGAAGGGCTTGGTGCAGTTGTTTGAGGAAGAGATCGTGCTGGTGCTGGTGCTGGTGCTGGGGCGGGAGTCCCTGGTACGATTTGCGAGCTGGGACGGATGTTTTCTTGCTGTGTTCGTTGGTGGTTGATGGGCAGTGTTAGGGAGCTGACGGCAACGTTTGATGCCCGCCGAGGAGGCGGCGGACTGATAGAGACCTGTTGCGTGGTGATTTTTGTTGAGGAAGCTGGAGGTGGTGGTGGGCTAGTATCCAGTCGTGGCCTTTTAAAGCCTGCTGATGCCTCTCGTGGAGGCGAGCTTTTACCGACTTGCTCCTGTGGTCGAGTGACTTTGGTGGCGGATGAAGTAGGGCCACGGCCTTGTGAGCGACTAGGTGGTTGTGGAAGCACAGCAGGAGGAGGCGAAGGAGATGGTGATAATGATGAAGACGCCGAGTCTATCTCGATAGGCGCAGCAGCATCTGAACCTGGTATTGGTTCATCTTCAATAGGAGGCTCAAGTTCCAGAGGCCTGTTGGATAGTCGACGTGGCACCGAACGGTCAATGGCCTGGATAACCGGCCGGATTCTCTTTTGCGGTATCGAGGATGGAGGGTAGATGGGGTCTGAAGCGAGTTCGGCTCGGAGGGTCCCGACCAGAGCTTTCGTGGTTGACTTTGCAACCATGCATGCCTTTGGTAAACGGTTCGTCGTCGACGGCGATGGAATAATAGGCGCTACCTTTGGTTTGCTTGAATCTCCGTTTTCCTCTAGGACTGATGGCGTGGCAGCAGACTCCAGAGTCTCGCTGATCGACCGTACCATCTTAGGGTACTTGTCGAGAACATCATTAATGTTTTCTTTAGTCAGGACCCCCTTTTGGTAGCGAGGTCTGGAAACCTGGTCATTGTAAAACTCTATGGCTGCCCGGACTGGGACATGGCCATGGCCATCTGCTGCTGCTTCGCGTATGTACTGTAGGTAGTCATTGCAATAGTAGCGGACAAAGTCGTCATAGAGAAATTCCATGATGGCACTTCGCTTTCGAAGATCACGGACACAAAGAACTGCCCGCACAAAGTCGCCGAGAGTTCCCTCGTAGTCTGGGTATGCCACTTTGTAGGCAGTATAAGGAACTTGAGAGGGCGGCCCGTTCGGTGGGATCTTCTCGTCAGAGCTGGCCAGTTGTTGAGTCCCTTGTTCCGTCGTCTTCACCGAATGACTACTGGTATCAGCAGACTGCTCTCCGGAAGGCTGTTGGGTATCGGCGATATGCTCAGACAACCTTGTCATCGCGGTATCTTCCGTTTCTGCTCTTGGAAACGTGGCCGAAGAACGTTCGGGCTCGGCAGTCGACCTGTAATCGCTATATACAGTGGTGACAGATTTCGGCATGATCCGGCGATGCTTTTCCGGTGGCGGCCTCGACGGCGTTGTACGAGAAAGGTAGCTGGCCGGGATGATTTGGGCTGATGGAGGAGTCTGCTCTAACTCTGCACGATGGGGCAGAATAGGCAAGGCCGCTTTGTTGACCGGAGGAAGAACGTCGGTGACCGCCTTGGGGACTTCAAATTCCAATCCGCCCTCGGAAGCAACGCTACTGCTCGGAGGGAATTCTGGCAAGAAGGGAACGCGAGCCTTGACTTTGAAGACTGGTGGAGATGATGGGCGATGTTCTGCTGGGCGTTTCTGGGACCAAAGTCGTTCCGGTAGGGCCCGAGTGGGGAGGTCGGGAGTTGCTATTGTCGCCTGTTTAGGGGTAGAGTCGTGTTCTGGTGATGGCTCCAATTCTGGTGTTCTATCCTTTGCTTCGCCGTCGTTAACAGGTGTCGTTGGTCGGATATGGTGCTCCGGAGATGGCGACCAAGGGATGGGTGTTCCCTCTTCGGAACCTGTACCGGTTGGTTTCGGTGTTGATGGTTCGTCTTGTTCCTCATCCTCTCTTACGGATTCTGTGTGCTGTGGTGCCGGAGAGGGAGTTCTTTGTAGTGGCGAAGGTGGAGGTGCGATACTGCGGATGTACTGCGCCTTGACTTCTTGCAGAAGCTCTGCTGGCACATTTGCAAAACCATCTGGATTCCAGGCATCTTGGCGGTCGAGTAATTCTTGCTGGTCCCGGTGAACTCGAAGGATACTGCGCGGTATCTTCTGCTTGCCGGCAAGGAAGCCAGGCGACCATGTGGGAATATCTAGGGCCGGTAAGGCCATGGTGAGACTGGCGATATGGGAGCAATGATTTAGTGTTGTTGATTCAGTTTGGGGACCCGGTCATAGAAGCCGCTGAAATGCAATTGGGAAAAGCCTTTCCTCGTAATCTTGGTTCAAAGGGAATATCGTTTCATCTTGAGTTGTAGGGACATTTATCGTATGGCGAAAAGCCTCTTCCGAGATGGTGAAGCTGGGGACAGCCGGTTGAAGTTGTGAGGTTTGTTTGGTCGCGTCGCAATCGATAAGCGCGTTCGGCCCCCGCCGTTCTTGACAAAGCCTCCGCATCGCCAACTCACGTGGTCGGGTACTCCGAAAACACACGGGTCACAGAGGCAGCCCAATAAGTACGACGGGAGCTGTGATGTTTGAAGCATGATTGGCTATCAGAGATGCTACCAGATGTAATGAATTTATGAAACGTGAGGGGAATGAATTCTTGAGTGGCTTCCCTACAAAATAATCGGCCATTTAGCGGCTGAATACCCACAGTCACAGCAGTTCTCTGTAGCCACCCACTCGCGCGCCCTACCAAAAGTCCTCCTACGCAAAATGCCGTGCACCCCCCATCCGTTTCCTTCCTCAGCACGGCCCTCAACAAGGAACCGTAGGCAATGAAAAGATGAACCGAAAAAGGATCTCGTAGTAGGTTACAAAAATTCCTTAGCCAGCCGAAGCCAACTGAGAGCGGTCAGGTATGTAGTTTTCAAATGGCAAAAACGCGATCTCGGATGAAGAAGAAAAAAAGAAGAAGAAAAAAAGAACAAGAACAAGTCGAAGATTCGGGGAAGGGTTGGCTGGATTAAATAGGTGCAGGGGACCGTCAAGGTTGGCCCCACCAGCTGTCAGGCCGGGCCAGGCCACCTCCAGGCCCACCCCCGGAATTGCGTGCATTTGCAGTGCAGGGGACGCTAAATCTTTAGCTACAGTGAAGTCCGCAAATTACGTCACGCTTCGCAGCTCCTGTTTGTGTACCGTAACATTGATCAACAGGTCCGGGTCCCAACCGTCGTCCGTCCCTTCCGCATCCTCTCCCTTTTCGTTTGGTGTTCCTTCCATTCCATGACGGCATCACACAATCTTACCTATCTTACCGTACCATCCACCGCATTCACCTGTCACAGTTATTGTTTGATTGACATGTTGCAGTGTCTCTGAACTTAACCATCTTCCAATTTATCAACTCTCGATTGTCGCAATCGACAGTCATCAACCACCCACCATGGATACCACCCCAATGGTGGCACCCGCCGGGCTACTCCAGACTAGCTTGATCTGGACCGCCTACGCCGTCGCCGTTGCTCTAGTCTTCCTCGTCGCCGTCATCACCATCTTTACCTGGCAAACCCCATATGATCGCTCCAAGCTTGTCACCACCGTCGCCATCATCAGTCTCACCTCTCTTCTAGCTACAGTGTTCCTTCTTCCCGTCGATATCGCCCTCGTCTCCTCCACCGCATCCGCATCAAGGGGCACCAAGAAAGATTGGGCAACACCGGAACGTATCGACGGCATTCTCACGACGCTCAAGATTGTCTACTACTCCCTGTACAGTTTCGATGCGCTCCTCTGCCTGGTCGTTATCCCGTTCGCATACTTCTGGTACGAAGAGCACGATGAGGTTCTTGAGGAGGAAGGGAGAGAAACTTGGACTACCCGGTTCGCGCAATCCTTAAAATATACCATTGCCTTCATCTTTCTCGTCATCATCCTGTTCCTCGTAGGCTTCTTCGTCCCTGCTGCCGCCCAAGATCATGGCCGACATCTCGACCTCGACTATTTCAGGCGTCTGTTGACAAACAACAAGGGCGAGAAGGCTCTCAGCTTTGGCCTCGGACTGCTCATGACACTGGGAACGCTTCTCTACGTTCTCTACACCGGAGCCGGTCTGGCTCTCCTTCCAGTCTCATTCATCAAGAGTGCCCCGTCCATCTCGGCCCCTCAACTTTCCGCCACGACTGCTTCCGACCTCGAGCACAACCGCGAGCTCCAGCGTCAAATCGAGATGCGCAACGCCGGTCGCATCGAAGCCATGTCTCAGAAGGACAGGCGCGAGCTCGACCTTTTACTCCGTGAGGAACGCACTCTCGTTCGCCGCCAGCGTCTAGCAGCCGAAGCACGCGGCGAGGGGCAATCCACCATCATCCAAATCTGGACCAAGACCCAGGCCGTTTTCCGTCCGCTGAAACTCATCGGCGGCATCCTCCTGCTTTTGCTCTCAGTAATCCTCTGGATCTCCATGCTCATCACCGCCATCGACAAGGCCGCCAACTCGGTCTGCAAGTCCCACTGCGGCTACATCCTCGGACACATCAACGTCTTCCAGCCCGTCAACTGGGTCTTCGTCAAGGCCGCCAAGGCTTTTCCCGTCGATTACATTCTCATGGCCTTCCTGATCCTCTTCCTCTTCAGCAGCTCCATCACCGGCATTGCTTCCGTCGGCATCCGCTTCCTCTGGGTCAGGCTTTTCCAAATCAAGAAGGGCCGCACCGCCCCTCAAGCCCTGCTCATCGCAACCGTCATGCAAGCCCTCATCATCCTCGCCATCAACTACGCCGTCGTCAACCTTCTCGCCCCTCAATACGCCATGTACGGCACACAAACCTTCTGCCAAGGTCTTGCTTTAGTCCCCGGTACCAAACCAGACTGCACGAACCACAGGGACATGATCCGCCCCTGCTCCGAGTCTCTAACAGACCCCCTGGCCAAAGACGTCTGCACGCCCACCGTCATGTCCACTTTCTTGAACCGTATCGTGCTCAACTGGCCCGTGTTTGGCGCCATTGACTTTTGGGCCCAGTTTGCGTTCTTGACCGTGTTCTTGCTGGTGTTTTTTACTAGTCTGGTCAGGACGCCCAGATTGAATCTGAGTGAGATTGACGAGGAGGCGCAGGCGGATGAAGAGGAAGGGTTGCTGGCGAGTACGTCGAGGAGGTTTGGAGCTACGTGGCAGGATATCACGGGCAGGGCTAGGAGGACTGTTGGTGGAAGTTCGGGTGCTCAGGGGTATGGAACCAATGGGACGAACTGAAGGGCTTGTTCTCGTTAGTGAGAGGATTGTGATGATGGATTGTGTTTATGGTGGCTCTCTACCTTGATACCCAGATTGTTGTTGTTGGTAGAGAGAATGGGAAATGTTGGGCATCAGTTTAGTTTCTTGTGTTCAGGTTTTCCAGCTGTTTAGGTTAAGTCAGGTCAGTTCAAGGGATTGGAAGGGATGGAGTTATGGTTATGGTTATGGGTATGGCTAATTCCTGTGTCTTGCCTTCTCTTCGTGTTATTGCTTCTGTTCAGTTTTCCCCTCTGGTGCTACCAAACTGTCATTATGAAATTCTAAGATATCCTAAGCGAGTCGTCATTTGGTTTGATGGTCAATTGACGATTTATCCGCAATAACTTTGGCGGGTCTGACGAACGATCGTATTGTCACTTCTACATCCACAAGAAAAAGTTCAAGTATCCATTCGTTAAACAAATCTGCTTTTCTTGATTCCTTGCTTGCTTCCTGCCAACGAACGGCACATAGGGACCCAACCAGCCGAACGAGACTCGGACGCGCCAACATGCAAAAATGACCTTTCAACTTCAACTCTATCAACGTCAGTCACCCATCTGACCCGTCTCAGCAACCTGCCATTCGCCTCCTTATTTATCGTTTTCGTTTTCTTCCTTCTCTTCCTCTACCCTCCTCTCGCCCATCCCCTTGACCCCCTCCTTCCCCTTCTCCTTCTCCGCCTTTCTTTCTTCCCTCCTCCTCTCCACCCACTCCCCTAACTCCCTCCAAATCCTCTCCTTCTCCGCCCTCCCCACCGTCGCCGCTAAACCACTAGTGCTAGTAGCCACAAACACCCTTGCTCCCTTCCACCCTTTTTCGTCATTTTCTCCATCCTCCTTATCCTCCCCTGCTTCAACAACACCCATATTCTCACTCTCATCCTGCCATCCATACTTCCAATCCTTCGGCAGCCCACCATTCCCCTTCCCCTTCAACCCCTTCCCCCCGTGCCTCACACGATAAATGCTCTCCCAAATCCCCTTCCCCACCACCGCCACCGCCTCAGGCCTGCACTCCCTCACCTTCTTTTCCAGTATTTCAACCCCATCATCCATCTCTTTTTTGGTCAACTCCCCCCCGTTACGCGTAGGTCTTCCAACGATATTCGTTAATCCCAGCGCAAACCGTTCCGGCAACGTCCGGTCTTCGGAGGGACTGCATAACACGGGCGTGATGCCGGACGAATGGAGCAGGCGCCAGAAGAGATTGGTCGGGTGCGCGTAGGCGTGTTGTTGGATGGCGGTTGAGAGGCCCGGGTTGAGGCCGATGAAGAGGAGAGTGAGGTTTGGGGCGAGGCAGTCGGGGAGGGATTGGGGGATGTTGTCGTAAGTTTTTTTGGGGGCCGGGAGAGCTTTGAGACGTTTGGAGGAGTGGCGGGTTGGAGTGAGAGAGGTGGATATGTTTGAGGAGGTTGAAGTGGTGAGTTTGCGTTTTGATGATGAAGATGGGGTGCCGAGGGTTTGGGTGGTTGTAGTGATGGTACTGGTGGTGGTTTGGGTGTGACTGGTTTGGGTTGTCTTGCGGGGAGATGATGAGGTGGTGGAGGTTGCATTTGTGGTTATGCTCGTTGATTTGGTTGATGACAGACGAGTACTTCTCCGGATTCCGCCTGGTGAAGGCGATGTTGATGTTGAGCCATTGCCGTCGAACTTAAAGTCTTCGAGTTTAAGACGGCCGGCGAACGTGGGTGGCGGGGGAGTGCGTTCTTCGTCATGCACAGTAGCTTCGGGAGAGGCCATGGCTGCGTTGTTCTTCTTCTGCTATGATAACGATTTGAATCCCGTGCAAAGGTTATAAGAAGAGAGTCGAATGTCTTGTCGAAAATCAGTGCATTTTTGAAGTTTGTTGTTACACTTATACCCTTCTCATCAGAGATCAGACGGGTGCCTGCCGTGGTGGTTCCTGATTGGCTTTATGTGCCTAGACTGTACCTTTAACAAGCCGCGGGTTTCGAAAAAGTTGCCGCCACACCGCCACCCAAACTAATGTCTGCTTGCGGGCATTTCGGATGAACTTCTCTCCAAAGCGTCTTTCGGGTTAACTTGTTGATACTCATTAAAATTCGTAGCCCAGATCGTGAAATCCTAAAATCATCTATGTACTATGCAAGATAAAAACACCCCGCCAACAACCATTAACACCTGGGGGTATCGGGTCCATCATTCATCTCCTTGCGATTTTCCTTAGTGGGCATTATAGCCACTCCCTCGTCCTTAACAGAGCGCATTCGTAAATGGTATCAAAAAGTGTGTTGTAAAGAAACGAAAGCTGTCGATATCCCGAATGTGATGGATGTCCTCCTACTCCTCGTAGCTTGTCATTAAGACCGCTACTTCCATCAAGAAGAACCCTTAGGCAAAAAATACGGTTGCCGCAACAGTCGCCACAACAGGCCACCATCCGGCATGCTCTAGCAACCTCTGGAGGCCAGCAGCGCTGCTTTCATCATCATCGGTACCGCCGGCCGCGGTCGTGCCGTTAGGCAAGGTGCCGTTGATCAGGAGATAGTCGGTTCCGTTAACAGTGGCAACGGTAATAAGGGTCTGGTTCATCGCAGAGTAGCTGCCGTTTCCGATAAGGTCGTCGATATAGGTGCTGTTGGTGTTCTCGTCGCAACCGCAGGTGTTGTACGGGTCGCAGGCGCAGGTGACGTTGCGGGTCTCGTCCTGATCGGAGGTCTGGTTGTGGTAGGTGTGCAAGTTGTGGTACGGGTACATATAAGCACCATAGAGCCAAACGGCGGGCCAGACGGCGAGAAGCCCTATACCAGCACCAAGAGCAAAGGGGGCGATACCGGATGGAGACCTTGTGCCAGGCTGGTAAGGTCGCGCCGCACCACCTCCGTAATAGCGGCCACCGCCGTAGGCTGGCTTCGGTCCGCTTCCAGCTCTGGTTGCTCCACCAGCATTGTAAGTTGGCGATGTTTTGGGGCCTCTGTTGAAGAAAAGTCATGTTAGCAAATTGAATGGTTCACTGGACGAAAAAAAAGATAACTGGAACTGGAAAGGGTTGGAGAGCCCGCGATATCCAGCAGGAAGTCCCCCAAAGGCGACTTTGCTGATGCATACGAGGAGATCTGCTTCGGCTTTTTCTTGGAGCTGCCACGAGAGGAGCCTCCCCCGGAGTAGTCTCCCCAAGAAGAGCCACTCGACGAAGAACCGCCGTATGAAGAGCCTCGTGAAGACGAGCTTCCCGAATAAGAATCTCCGTAGGAGCTTCCAGGTTTGGATACTCCCGAAGACCACCTTTTTCACAACCCATGGGAGTTAGAGAATATGACAGGAAAAGAAAAAGCACATACGTTGAACCAGGACCAGTGTTTCCATTGCTTCCACTGCCGGTGTTGCCAGTGCCGCCTCTCCTGTGAACAAACATACATTAGCGTCGCCCTGCATGACGAACACATTGCCACCATTGCTCTCCAACACAACCCCCCTCCCAATAACCAGCGATGGAAATTGAGAGAGAGAAAGCAGGATATCGGTGAAGGGAGGGTTGACTTACCCTGAACCGGATGAGCCTCCAGGTGAACTGCCGCCGCCTCCACTGCTGCTGCCGCCACCGGAGCTACCACCACCACCGCGACCGCCGCCGCCACCTCCGCCTCGGCGCTTCCAAAGTTCCTGCGAAGTAGTGTCGATGTCGCGGTCGATGATCTGAATGGGCTCGGCGGGCTCACGTCGCGCAAGGTCGGAAATTGGTGCGACGAGGGCAAGTGCCGGATTGGCACAAAGGGCCGAGAGAAGAATGGCGAGATCGAGCTTCATGTTATGTTGTGCTGTGTTGTGGTTTGGTGTAATGTGATGTGTTTCGGATGATTATTAGGTTGTTGGTGAAGTTAACGTGGTCGTGGGGGAAGAGTTGCCAGAAAAAGTCTGGGGAATAAAAAGGATTTAATACCTGGTTACAGGCCAAGAGGGGAAATGGACGGAGCCAAGGGCCCGGGAACTGGGTTAGATGAAAAAGTATAAATGCATGTATGATGAGTACAGGGGGGTGATGATGTATGTAAGTAAGGTACTGCGTAGTAGCCAATGCCCTGACTAAAGGGTCCGAGAGAAAGATGCGGGCTGATGTAGAGAAAAATAAGGGTGCATTGAGAGATCTGGGATTCGCCCCAAAAGGTTGACCGCTTGACAGAAAATCAATGGCTGGAATGGAACAGGCCTGGATGGCGCAGCTAGCTCTTCTCACCCAACTTTCTGTCGCGCTAAGGGAAACTTTGATGGTGCTACCTTGAAGTGGAAGGAGCAGGTGTCATGACGGAAAATGTCCCTTTCTCCGTTCGGATCAGAGCCAGGGTCGAGACGCTGTTGTTAGAGAGTATTTGGCTGGCTCACTCATGACTGCACCCTGAAATGTCCACTTCAGCCACCCATGTGCCGTCAGTGTGCCCGCCCTTCTATTCCTCACTCTATCAGTTGGTTATAAAAGATCAAAGCATCGCCATCCCTCGCCTCAGCAGGCAGCGCATTCAACTAACTCTCCCTTCAACTGGAATACCTATGTACGATACAACCGTTGGCCATTTCCGACTCCAAATGCAAACACACAAAGACGTCTTTCATCGGCTTGAGCGGCAGATTCTCTCGTAAGGAAATCGATCTGGTTGGGCTTTTGGCAGCGATGAGCCCCGATAGTCTCGCGATCCCGTTGCTCGCGATTGAGGGACCCCGAAACTGGGCAGTGGCCAAATTCTTCTTCCCTTTTCTGGCTGGGGTGACCTCAGTGACCTCACTGGACCGCGGCCAAGTCTCACAGTGGATGTTCCGGCAGTCCTAGCGGATGAAGTCATCGTCCACACCAACGATGCCATTACCAACCAGTGATATACAGTACGCCCCAACATGCATTTGCGCTGCCCTGGATCGTCACTGGATTACTGACAACGCGCGAGGACCCTGAAATTCCCAACATACCGACGGAGCGGTGACATCTGATCTTCCAGAAGCCATTCACAACCCTTCACTCCCTCTGTGTAACTTGCTTGCCGCAACCCGCACTCTCAGATTGAATAATGCGCGGGAAAGTTGTCCAATGTCGGGGTATCGGGGACCTCGTCGGCCCTGTTGTTATCGGCTGGGCTGGCCACTGCATTCAGTGATTCGTTTTTAAGCTTTTGGCTTTTATAACCACACCAAGCGAGGCGGTGCATAGCACGTGGAGGTGCTTATTCGATGGCCATATCAGATGGCCAATTCCCCTGCAGAAACGTGCTATCGCCACCTTTTTATTGGTCTTGGTAAGTATTATATGCCAATCACTGAGCATTCCGCACTGGAGTCACGTAAGACCGTTAGCTTCATATGCAACTCATCACTCGCTGGAAAAGTTTATCGGGGGTGATGTCTGATGGGTTGGCTGGTGGTTTTCAACTAGTCACCAAGTCATGGCCTGTTAGTGATTAGTCGGTACCACCAGCCAACCGGTAACATCTATGGCTGATAAGCCCGCTTGTGCACCTGCATTATCCCAGCGAACAGGACAAAAATGGAAGCTCTGAAAAGTGCAACTCGTTATCTTAACCATATCTGGGTTTCAATACTTCCGACTGTCATTATTTGATCCAAGGTTTCAATATCCAGAAGTGCGCCCTGAAACCTGCCTTACTTGTTCACATAATGCAAAGGTAGCATGACAGCATAACTATTCCCAATTCGGATCCGTTGACATGTCCGGGGTAGCCCCACTTTTGTCCGGCAGTCAGAACATGCATCTTGACCACCTCCAGCCAATCTACACAACAACATTCTGGACTTGACAAAGTTGACTCCGACTGCTTACAACCCCCCGATTGGATTTCGACGGAACAACGATTCTATCCTCCGAGAATTTCTGTCTCCTTCACCTTCCGACTCGTTCAATTATCCCCTTTGGCTTTTGACGGCCCGACGCTCCCGCATAGACACTCCTGCAGACCTGCTGCCTGAGCTGAACCCAGGCCACGCCTTATCGCACCGCGAGATTACCTACAACTCATCCCAACCGGTGAACCCAACTGCTGGAAGACCGTGTCCGTCACACCTACCCAGATCTAATTACACCCAGCCTCAAATATCCGATTCGCTTGCTTCAGCCGCACTTCCCCCCTGATTTCTACCCAACCCGATTCCCCGATTCCGGCATCCATTCGGTGCAGTAGGCATGACTTCGAACCGACCGACCAATGACTTGGACAAGTCCCTTCTGGACAGACTCAATGCCCTCAAGTCCACCAGTGTCTCTCTTGATACTGATGCTAGCAACAAGCTCAGTCCACTAAAGTAATCCTGACCAACATAAACCATCTTCTCATGACAATTCACCATTTACTGAAACACTCTTGTGAACTTGTAGCCCCCCCTCTACCAGTACGACTGCCAATGACACCGCACAAATGAAGCCTTCTTTTGGTATTGGCCCTGTACCGTCGGTCTCAAAGGAAGATGCTCTGACCGAGAGGCTGAGGGTGCTTCGTAATGCGTCTTCATCATCAGTGCCATCATCGTCAGCTGCTTCAGGAAGCGGTCAGGCTTCTGCCGCCTCACCAAAGCCGGGACAGGATACACAAGCAGAAGGGCATGGCACTTCCCAATCTCCTCTCCACAGAGAGCAAATTCCAGTTTCAGGAAATGCCAATCAACGACCACTCAAGGTTCAAGATACAACGACCCAGACTCAATCGCACATCTTATCCTCAGCCTGGGGCCTGGAAGAAGTAGACGACCAAGCCCTAGATGAGCTTCTAGAGGGTCTACAAGATGACCTAAACCTACAAGAAGATGTTCCCGACGAGGCTGAGAATGAGGACGAAGACCACATTGATCTTCATGCCATTGCCAACAACAACGACGGCATCATCGAAAACGACGAAGAGAGAGTCCAGAAGCTCCTGGCAGAACTCGCTCCCAAACCAAACAATAACTCATTTGCAGACGACAACGATGACAATAACAGCGATGATGAAAACTCAGACGGTGAAGCCATGACCAAAGAAACCAACAAAATCCTCGACCAAGTCCAGGACGAGATCAACCTGAACGGCGGCCCTACAGATCTAGACAACAACAATAGCAACCCCTTCTCCCTCCCCTCCCCGCCCTCAGGAACACGCACACCCACCTACACTTCACCCAAATCCCCATCCTCCTCTCTAAACCTCCCCGCAGTCCCCACAACCCTCTCCCCTCCCCCCGGCTGCTCAGCAGAAGAAGCCGCCGACCCAAACAACATCACCTCCCTCACCGCGCGTCTCTCCCACCTGCGCTCGACCCCGATAAGAACCGACGCCTTTGGCTTGCCTTCAGTCCCCACCACCACTTTAATTCTTCCCGCCGGTTCTTCTCTTCCCTCTTCTTCTTCCTCTTCGGGTTTTCCCCCGCAGCCGGTGAGTACCAAGTACCAAACGAGATCCACAAAGGGATGGGTAGGGAGAGGAGAAACTTACACCGACGAAGATGTGAAAAAGTGGTGTACGGTTTGTTTGGAGGACGCTACGATAAGGTGTGAGGGCTGTGAGGATTTTGAGGATGGGGGAGGGGGGGAAGTGTACTGTGTGAGGTGTTGGAGGGAGATGCATGTGGGACCGGCGGCGGGGTGGGAGGAGAGGGGACATCGGTGGTTTAGGTTGAATACTACAAAGAATGGCGGAAAGGGGACGGGAATGGGGGAGTGGAGTGGGCCTACTACTCCTATGTAGTGTTTGGGTTTGGGAGATGAGGAATGAGAAGTCAGGGATGGGTATGGAGTAGGGGGCCAGAGGAGGGTAGGGCCAAGAGGAGTGGGTAATTAGGGTGAGTGGTGATGGTGACGATGAGGTGAAGATGGTCGAGCTGAAGAGGTTCGCCAACGGTTGGCGGGTGTAGAGGTCCGGAGGTGATCTGTGTGAGAGGATGTAAAGGGAAAGTGAAACACAGTGGAGAGTCAGCAACAGTTCACTTTCACATCACAGATATATCATCTATAAATATGGAATACGTGACTTGGAATAAACTACGTAAAGGAAGAGTGAGGATCTAATATGAATGCGTGTCTCAAATAGCTGAACTATCCCTGGTGTGATTAACCCCCAACCACTCGCTCCTCAAAAAAAAAAATCAAAAAAAAAAAAAAGTAAAAAAAAAGGAATCCCTAACTTTCTCCTCACTTCGAATACTTTGCACTTTAGGGAACCCTTCCTTCATACCTAAGGTAGGTACTCAGGTTCCGACATACCGTTACGTAGCAATCATGTCATGTCATCCTTTCAGTACATTCTTAAGTAGTCGCTCGTTTTGCTCGGTCCACTTCAGTTCAATACTATTCTCACCACCATTCTTCCCTCTTGCTCTCTTGCTCTCTTGCTCTCTTGCTCTCTTGCTCTCTTGCTCTCTTACTACATCTTACCTCTTCTCCTTCCCCTTCCTTGCCCCCTTGCTCCCTTCCATTGTGTTCTACGTACCTTGCGACTGTCGTTGGCTTACCATACCAAACATGTAGTAAGCTATCGGCAGCAATACCAGCCTCCAGATATGCTAGAGTATTGAAGAAATCCCTCCCAGACCCAGATTCCAACATAGCTAGCAAGGCCAAATTTCGCAGACCATCTCGCTTCAGTTCCTTTGTCACGGCTCACTGCCGCCTGCTTAAGCTTTGAATCAGACGAATCGGGCGAGGTTCTCGGAGTTCATGAAGGTCTCGGTGGTCTCCGGGGCGTCTTGGGTCCGGGCTTGGGCTTGGGCTTGAACTTCAGAGGGCAGGGGAAGCAGATTGCTCGGTCCAATCTGTCTTTTGTTAGTTTGCTTAGGGCGGCAGCATCCCGTATGTTCTAATGTACTGCTTCTTCTGTCTCTTTTTCTTTCGGCTGATCTGGTTTTATATTGGGTACCAAAGATTCCCGACACTGGCTCTCCCTGCAGTGGTCTCGTGAGATCTCAGAGTTTGTTGGTCGTTAGTGATGGGAAGAGAAAGTCAGTCTTCTTGTTAGAAGTTGGAAAAGAAAGTGAGCCAGACACCTTAGAGGTACGTACTTGCCTCAGTAGACCTAGTACAAATAGCAGACTGCAAGATTCAATGTCATGAAACGCACAATAGCTTCGCAGATTCCGTGTATACTCGACAGTGGATAATTTCTCGTTATCCCGTCCACAAGTTGAAAATCCTGTTTCGCTATCTCGTGAAATTAAAGACATGCGCATCGATCGTCGCAGGGGGGTGATGACGGCAACCAAGCTACGTCAAGGTGGCAGCGACAAGCTCAGGGGCAGAAATCAAGGAATGACCGTTGCTTGAACGAACGAAGGTTGGGAAGGAGGCATCACCTCCAAATGAACGTAGCCAACCAAACAGTCACGGATTCACGGATAAACAAAACTCAACATGAGAAGCGCAAAACGAAGTAGAGTGAAGAGAAGTGTGAACAGTCAAATCCCAATCCATTCCATTCCATCCCATCTCACGCTCATCCTATTCATTCATGAATTAAAAGTGTGTAGTACAAAAAAAAGCCCCGCTTGGTTTATTGAACAAACAAAACAAGAAAACCCACTCTATAATGTTAATAACCCCCCACAATTCCCCTTCACCCTAGATCCATGGTATCATTTTTTTTGTCCCAACGCCTATGAGTGCAACCCCCGACTCACCCCCTTGTTTTGCCCTCTTCCTGCTTCCCATATATGCTTTATTTATGTTTCTTGTTGATGATTCGGTGAGATCTTTTGATAACGATTATCCCCGCCGCCAGCCGCATTCGATAACCAATAATGCACACTATTCCGTAGAGAAGCCGACTTCCTCTCTATCCCCGCGCTTACGCTTACCGCCACCGATATCGACGCCCTTCTTCTCTTCTCTCTTCCTCCTCTTTTAGGTGGTGCTGAGGTAGACCATGCCGTTGCCGACACTGATGATTGATGTGGCACGTGCGATCCCGACACGGCGCGCATACCCATGCCGGGCATCACCGTTGTTGGTGGAATTGTCAAGTCTCGTCTGGTGCTCGTTGAAGAGGGGCTGAGCGAGATCGGGATTGGTTGTTGGGTGCTGCTGATGCTGAGCCCAGACGCGACGGCGCGGTTCCTCCACTTGGGCAACTTTGTCGAAAGCGATAGAGACCTTCTTGCCTTGCGCGGATCAAACCCAACGCTATCCAATCCACCTTCTCTTCCATTGCTCATCCTCGTCACCCTCTCTTCGTCCTCGGCCTCCTCCTCTGTCAACGCGATGGTCTCTATTATGAGACCAAGCGTCTTGATGTTTTGGTTTTGTTGTTCTTTTCGATGGTGATGTTGTTGATGTTGTGGATCATGCCGAAATGGCGGCGTGTGGTGGCGATGGTTGTTCAAAGGTCGGTAATTGTACGACGACGGACTGACAGAGTCATGATTGATCTCCTGAACCTCAGGATCCCGTACGATTCATCCTTGTTTGAACACCAGATCTCCCGTGGTGAAGATCTCGCACTTGATGCGCGAGGCAGGGACGCCCTGCTGCATGAGGTAGAATTTTTGGTTGATCATGAACTGCTCTGGGCCGCAGATGAAGTACTCAGTGCCGCCATGCTGGAGATAGAGCTCCTCGGGCTTGAGCTTGGCCAGGTCCATGCGTTCGTTGTAGTCATATGTCTCGCCAGGGCGATCAGTGCTGTTGATGACGGTCTTGAAGATCTTGGTGTGGAAGTTGCAGTTCTTCTTGCGCATATCCCTGATGTGCTCCTCGAAGGGGACGTGCTTGCGGCAGCCATGTACCCAAGCAATCTGACGGCCGGGCTGGTTCTCCATAACAGTGTTGGCGATGGAAACCATGGGGGTGACGCCGACACCGGCAGAGATCAAGACCAGGGGCATGGTGCTGGTGTTGTTGATATCCAAGAAGAACTCGCCGGCCGGGTGGGAGACCTTGAGGACAGAGCCGACGGTGGTCTGATCGATAAGGTAGTTGGAGACGGTGCCGGGATTGAAGAAGGACTTGGAAACGGAGTTGGAGTACACGGTACCCTCGTCGCGGCGGACGGTGATACGGTAGTAGTCCTCTCTCCAAGCCTCACTGAGGGAGTACTGTCTGGACTGAAGGTAGCCGTTGGGGATCTGGATCTGGACGGAGATGTACTGGCCAGGGAGATATCTCGGTAACCGCTTTCCATCCTGAGGCACAAGGTAAAAGGAGTAGAGGTCGTCGCACTCGTTGACGATTCTGTCGATCTTAAAGGGACGCCAAGAGGACCAGCTCTCAAAGTCCCTGTACAATTGTACCTCGCGCCCGATCAACATCTTGGCCAACATCCAGTACGCCTTTGTCCATGCCGTCTGCACCTCGGGTGTCATCGCGGGGCCCAAGACCTCTCCAAAAGCCTGGATGAGATACTTGCCGACAACCTCGTAGTGCTCTGGCTGAATACCTAATGAGCAGTGCTTGTTACACATGCGCTCAAACTTGGGTACGAGTTCGCTGAGGTGGTTAATGTTTGCGGCAAAGCCCAAGATAACGGCCGTCAGGGCACGAGGTTGCCTGCCATTTTTCTGGTTTACCGAGTTGAAGTAGTTGTTGAGTTCGGGATGGTCGGTGAGCATAGTCTTGTAGAAGATGCTTGTTATCCTCTCGCCGTGCTCTTTGAGAGCGGGGATGGTGTCCTTGACCAGCTTGGTCTGCTGGTATGTAAGAGCCATGACTGTTGGCAAGTGTCAGGCAGACTTTTTCTGTGGGAGGCTTTGGTGTGGTGGAGCTCCAACGGTAACGGTCGAGATGGTGAACGACAAAGTCAATGAGCGTAGTGTGATGCCAGCGACAAAGCGCGAGATGGGGAGATATTTGTCTTTTTAAGGGGAAAAAAAGAGAGAGAAGATGTGGACATTTCCTTCCGGGACCTCAACAGGTCTGTTCCGTCCTCGGCCACGCGATAGTTAATAAAGGCAGGGCATGGACAAGAGGGACCGTTTCCCAGACAAGGTCCAATGGATGAGAGGACCCATCATCCATGAAGAGTGGAACATTTGCTATCCTCGCTCAAACCAGGGTTCGGCGAGTCAGAATAGCCCGATCGGTCGTTGTTATCTCGTACGATATCCACAAGGGGCATTATTGGGAGGTAATTGGACTGCCTGAGTGCAAAATCTACCGTTCTGTCACTTGTCGGAATTTTTGTTCCGTTGAAGAGTGCCATGTGGTGAACAGGGGTGGTCTATACCGTGGTACGGCTCCAATCTCTTCTTCTTTTTTTTTTTTTGTTCTTGTCGAGCCTCAGCCCTGCCGGGATTTGGGGGGTACCGTCTGGGATCCAACCACAAGACCGCCACCGTCGATACCATCGCCAGCATGGGGAAGCGGGAGAGTGGGATGTCATTCCCGCTGTTTCCATGAATAGGTGAGTTGCTGTGTGCGGGTTGTGATGATACATGGTATCAAATACGGGAGGGTATCACTACAGATTTGGTGAGATTGACCAGGGCCGAGCAACCCCACACCGCAGTTCCCTGATATCCTTGGTTGTGGTTGAGGTTGAGGTGGTGGTTGGTGTGTGGTACATTGGGGGTAACGGTACCTACCTATTTTTCTTGAGTGTGGCAGAATAAGCCTGATACATACGCGGGAGCCATGTGTTGCAGAGATGCAGGAGATGAGATGCAAAAGACAGCATGGATCCCAACGAATGATGATTGGACGGTCGAAAAGAGGCTCTAAAACGCCCCAACAAAAAGTGGCCTGGTTCGTCTCGTCGGGATACCTCTTTGACAACGGCTTTGCATGCAAGATGCAAATGATATGGCGTTGAATGCAACCCATAGATGGTTCATCTTGTTCTTACCGCTTCTTTTGATCACCTCACTACCGGCGACTATCGTCATCAGAATGTAACGTTGTCTGAACTACCGCGAGAAGGTTGAGTGGCTTGCTGGCGACGGCTGGGTAGTACAACAACAGAGGCGGCTGGCTCGGGAGCTCGGCAGACGTGCCACCGCAGGCCGACGTGGACAGACGGATATAATACCACCCTCGTTGCGCCATGTTGAGTCCTGTGACCATTGAGTGATCTGAGCGGACCCCATCGACCAGAAAATCCTTACTCAAATGCCCCTAGTCGGCTGAGGCAGCTGTGTTTCAAGTATTTTTCCCTCCCTCAAGCAGGATATTCAATGGTCGGGCGAAGAGATGAAACCGAAACAGATGACACTTGAGAGTTGCCTTGGTTGGCAACTTAGCTGATGGACCCGAAACTCCAGTCGATAATAGCTGGAGACTTCGACCACAGAGGCGCTGCTGAATTTGCTGGGTACGGAGGTTGCGGTGGGCACTATATCGCTGGGGTAGGTACTGTACGTTACTATGCATCCCATCCACTGGGTCCGGCGTTTGTAGCGGCCATGTCCATTGGACATTTTGGAGATGGGCACTGAGTCGCGTGCTCGCGTGGGCTGGGCGGCGAGAGAAACGGGCGCGGTCGGGGTCGGAGTGGACGAGCCGATGGGGGAACTGGGGGCCCTACAGTAGCCCTCTCTCGGGGCAGCGGCGCCAGCGGGTGTTCGATAGTGCACCGTCCTGACCGTTTTGTCCGTTGCGGAGTTGGCGAGCATGGTGCTGATCGCTGATCCCTTGTGCCAGGAATATCCATTCTTGCTCGACTTTTGATATTCATCCAGCGATCCCGCAAATTTCCGAATTTTCTTCTTGTCCTTCTCCCGTGCTTCTGTGACGGCGAGACAGTGTCTCGAAAGTGTGGCCCGCGGTCGCCGTGGTCGCAAAAAGGATTGACGTGGTTGAGTGCGAAATTTGCACTTTGGAAAGGGCGGCGTTGATTGGACAATGGGCGGCGGAAGCTTCGAGGGATGATCTAGAATGGCCACATCGAACGGTTCTCGTCGCACTTGCAAGGATAGAGTCGCTTTAGTTCTGGACATGTGCCGGGCCTTAAGCTCCTTTCGTATCATGACGCGGTTGTTTTTTTTTGTTTTTTTTGGCTGAATCTGCCCCCTTTCAGCTGGCGCCAAGTGTACTCTCAGCGACGGCCCCGATACCATATCCTCGGTCGCGTGCTTCAAAATGACAAGCCTGGGGGACCTGGCCTTGTGTCACTTCTACCGGCCGTTCGCGGGCATTGAAAGGCTTGGCTGTACCTGAGAGGGCGTCAAGCTCAAGGCCGGTGGATGGAGCAGCACGGGGCTAGGACAGACCGGGCATGCTTCACCTCGGCTCGCTTCTGTCGTACGACTTCTGGGGAGAAGAAGTCCGTATATAGCTCTCTGTCGGGCGGCTCCAGCGGACGTCGGATACGAAATTCGGTATATCTTGGCACGCAATAAAAACAGCCATTGTCCTCAATGCTGACCCGTCAGACTCGGCACTTTGGCGGTGTGAGTGCGTCGACAAGAGAACGTTTTCGAGCAAGCTGAAAAGCGATCCTGGATGAAGAAGGCGTTGCGAGATTTCGTAGTTGCGAGATTTCGTAGCCGCGTGATTCTGCGACATTGTTCATTGTTTGCTTCTTGATGATGGCCAGTTGATGAAAGAAAGGTGAGGAGTCGACCGGAGTGCGAGATGAACTAGAGCAGGAAACCAACCCCCCCAGGAAATAATTGTTAGTGCTTAATGCTTAACCTCTAAAATTCTCCAAAAAGGCAAGCACCAGCCGTGTAAGCCAGCAGGCAACCGTAACGGGCAGCGCCTGCCTGGCCGACTTCATCGCGACACAGTAACACTTGTTCTGCACTTCCACTTGAGACATACACTTGGCCATCGTTATCTCACACCGCCAAGAGAACCTCACGGCAACATTGCACCATCACGTGAACGGCAACGACGTCGAATTGGGAACAACAGTTGGATGATTGGTCTCAGGCACCCAGCGGCATCATATTTCAAGGATGGCAGTTATGGCACCGGTCCGGATGGCCCGAGCTTCCCCATCCTTATGGTCGATATCGTGGCGTCTGTCATCGTTGTTCCCTGGACATGTTGTTTCATGTTTCATAACCGCGCACCCTGGATTCATTGTTCATCTCTAGTGTATCTCATTTTGACATGAGCATGACACGGTCTCCTCTCCGTGAGAACCTTACAGTCTGGAAGGAGTTGACATGACACCGAAACTCTCCGAAGAAACGTATGTTTTTGCACGCGAGACACGCCGAGTTATATATCTCCAAAGTTCACCTCGTCTCGTCTTTCTAGTTTACAGTTGCGACTTACTTGTTACGTACATACAGGCTACTTAAACGTGGCTCCACGAATCACGGACCCTCGGTCCCTCCCACCATGGACGGGATCGTTCGGAAGGCGGCGCAGGAGATCATCTCGGGAGTGGGGCCGGCGGTGGGGAAATGGTCACGACCCTTGGACTTGATTCTCTTGGCCGTTTTCGCACCGGCTTCATACAGATTTCATCGATTTCATCGATGTCATCCGCCCTCCACATCCCGGCCACCGCTGCTGCTGCTGCTGCTTCCACACGAACCCTCGTTGTCTCGCATCTCATCTGGAGACCTCGAGTGACCATCCATCGAGCCGCGATTACGATTATCGATATGGCACGCCATCTCCCGCCCTGCCCGTCTTTCCGTTGGTTGACGAGCTCCCTTAGACCTAGTCAGACACCGAGGTCCCCGTGGCCCCGGGGGAATAGGTCTTTGAAAAATGGTTCGACGGGCGACATCTCATCGGAGATCCTACCGGGCATATTCTTCCTCTCTCGGTAATGCCGGCATGACCACAATCACCAGCGCTACCTGCAATGAGTGCCAGCCCAGCTCAGCTCTCAGCACTGGGTGGCACTTGTTATTAGTTGCAGCTCTCTCAGGACAAAGTCTGTTTTCCAAAACTGTTCCATCTCGGTTGAGCGTTAGCTGCTCTTCGTTACGAATGCGTCATGACACCAAAATAGCGCTGCTATTGTCATGCTACCGCTACTATCGCCGTCCGGGGACGGGGTGTAATTTAGCGAGCTCCAGGGGGCTCAAGGGTCTCCGCCAAGCCAACCATTGTCAGGAGCGTCGCAGAAGTGTCGTGATAGCGTCAAGTTCTAGACACAGCGACCGAGTACTGTAGGGTATGAATTGCAAATTTGGCTTTTGTGTCATGTTTTGTACTTGCAGTTCAGAGTTCAGATGCAGTATCAAAAGTCGACACGGTTACCCTGCCCGACCAGTTCCATGATTGTGGTTCTTTAAACGGCCAACATGACGGGCCGTTGATCGGCCGCCGCGTGGTCCGGTACGTAGTCAACCAACACTGTGGACCCCGGATCTCCAGCGGTGCCGTTGCGATGGTGCTGCGGTAGATGCCGAGCCGGCGGGGGTCGGGGTGTCAGGCCCGGCCGGGTTTCCGGGCGGGTCTCCCGCAACGGCCCCACTCTTTGACCCCGAAAAGGAGATGCGCTCTCCATGGAAGTCCTCGTCAATCCAAGCTCCTCGCATTATCGACCTACATATTGTGGACAATATTTGATGAATAATATTGTTTCGCAAGGCCCCTTTTAACAGCGGAACATATATGGTCGATTACACCCAACATCAACAGGAGTGAACCGTCGGACTCGGGGAATTTGCAGGCCGCCAGTCTTCAATTCATAGGAGCCCACTGTATAATAGCAGAATACCATGGGATCAAACAAGACTGTTTGCACATTATCCCAGAATAAAATCATGAAGCTTTGGCGATTCATTGCCAGCTTGCGAGGTTGAGAACCATCGTCAAACATCCAGGTATCAGGTCTCACTCTGGGTAATTCCATTGGCGGGTTTTCTCCCCTCCAACCCCTCACGATGATGCATACACTTTCCTCATTGCTATCGATTTCATCGAACAAGACCGCATGCATGGCAGATTTAGATTTGGATCTGGCAATATGCGCTCTGTAGCCTCAACATCTGCAGAGTATACTGTCGAAGACGGTACACTTCCAAAATGTTGTCCACTCCCAATGACAAGGCGGGACGCCACCTCCTCTCAGTTATGGTCCCCTCGCCTTCCCCTCCGGGTTCCCCAGATCGGCAACCCGTTCTTGGATAACTTCATCCTCCAACATCCGCCAAGCTTGCAAGGTCGTATTGGATAGTGAACTCACAACTAATACGCCCGGTCTGCTGCATGTCGGACCTCGCTCTTGTCCTTCGCTGATTTGGAACGATCCGGATTCCAGAGTGCTCTCTACCAAACATTGACATGAAGAAATAGGGATACCGAGCTTCATCGAGCCCTCCCAAGCGGGCGGCTGTCTCACCGGCTGTAAGATCAGCAAAGTCTAGACTCTATACCGACACCAAGATGGTAACTGTTGGCGCTGACACTGTTCCGTTTCACAGCAAGACGAAAGCCGAAAAAAGATCAGTGCTGCGAAGAAAGACCAGCGATGATGCATTATCACACAGTGCCGACTCTTAAAAGGCAATCTCTCAAGTGAGGGGGTGCTGTCAAGTTGTTGGTGTCATGCACCGATTAGGTTCGACATCAGTTGCAGCTGTCAATTCTGGCATTGCGTCGATCGTCCTTCCTTCTTTGGGATGACATCTTGCCAAGGACGACGTCGTACTTATCAAGCCAGCTCCCTCCTCATATGCCACATCTTGTTTGAACAATCTTCATACGCCTAGTTCGCTGTTTGTGTTTGTTCTCCTCCGCATCATCTTCGACCTTGACCAAGTGGTGACTCGCAGATTGATAAATTAGACAAGCACCTCAAGGACCTCTGCATCCATCCCCGGTGAGTATATAACTTCGCTCTGCCGGCTTGTTCAAGACAGCTACTAAACTATCACTCACAGTACTCTCACAAGCTCACAACTTTACGTACCAGACAACTAAATCCAGCAATACTAGCACCAACCACAATGACCAGACTCACCACCAAGGCCTCGGCGGCCCTCAGGACTACCACAATGGTCCCCAAGTCAACCTCCCGCCTAACCCCCAGACTCACCATGGCACCCTTTCAACACCAACCCCGAAGCATCGCCGCCCAGTCAATCGCTCCTCTCACCCACACCCGCTCCCTGCACCAAACTCCCTCCCGCCCTCTACCCGTCTCCGAGCCCTTCAAGCTCGACCGCACCAAGCGTCTTCCCGAGTTCTTCTCCCTCCAAGACAAAGTAATCCTCATCTCCGGCGGCGGCCGCGGCGTCGGCCTCACGCAAGCCGAAGCCGTCCTCGAAGCGGGCGCGCACGTGCACGTCGTTGACGTCCTCCCGGACCCCTCTACGGACCCCAACTCTCCCTTTTCCGCCGTCGCCAAGCGCGCCACCGAGGAGTTGGGTACCAACATCACTTACCACAAAGTTGACGTGCGCGACCAGCAGGCGCTTAACGACGTGGTGCAGGGTATTGCGAAGAAAGAGGGACGGATGGATGGACTGATTGCTGCGGCGGGAATTCAACAGGAGACGCCGGCGCTGGAATATAGCAGGGAGGACGCGGATAAGATGATGGGAGTTAATGTCACGGGCGTGTTCATGACGGCGCAGGCGGTGGCGAGGGTGATGGTTGAGAATGGGTGGACGGGGAGTATGGTGTTGATTGGGAGTATGAGTGGGACGGTGGCTAATCGGGGGTTGATTTGCCCGTGAGTTTATTTTTGTTTTTTTTGTCCTTTCCTTTTTTCGTGTCGTTGCCTCGTTGTTTCCTTCATTCTTCTTCCCATGCCTTCCTTTTCTCGGTTGCTTCCCTCCTTTCCACCTTCCTTCCTTTCCTCCTTTTCCCACATCCCTCCCTTCCCCTCCGCTCCTTCCGTCTTTCCCTCCTCACACCCACATCCCTCCCCTCCCCTCCTTCCATACTTCTTTCTCACTTGGGCCCCACCAACTACTCGATCCCCCCCGGCCTTTCCATACGAGTCCCAACTAACCTCCGCAAAAGCGCCTATAATGCCTCCAAAGCCGCTGTCCTCCAACTCGGCCGCAACCTCGCCGCCGAATGGGGCGAGCACGGCATCCGCGTCAACACGCTTTCGCCAGGCTACATCGTGACCGCCATGACGGCCGGCCTCTTCGAAGCGTTTCCCGAGCGCAGAACTGCTTGGCCCGATGCGAATATGCTCAAGAGACTGAGCTACCCCGAGGAGTATCGTGGCGCGGCCATTTTCTTGCTCAGTGATGCGAGCAGCTTCATGACGGGCGCGGATTTGAGGATTGATGGGGGGCATTGTGCTTGGTAAGGTAACAAACCTTGGTTTGTTGAAAGGAAGGAGGCCAGTCAGACTCAGGCAGAAAGACAGGCAGACAGGCAGCCAGAAAGGCACAGGGGAGGCCTGGTGCAAAGGCTGAGGATGGAGGGTTTATGAGATTATGATTGATGGAATGAGATTGGAATTACGAGGAAATCGGATGGATGAGGCAGGATTCATGATGTTCAGCAGCGCGAGATGGCTTCAAGCACCTTTACGACAGCTTGACAATGACAAGGATTACCTATACTTTTGTTTCTGAGACTGGTATTCCCAATGAGACAGTCCCACGAAATGTCGTTGAAGCCGCCGCAAGGTCACTATGAAAGGCTTTGATCCCAACCAGAACTTCTATGATTATATTTGCATGAACTCATTCATGTTATTGTAAAGCATCTGTTATCTACAAAACCGAGATCACCTGGAAGCAATCATACCTTAACGCGATAGTCACATGTTTGCGCTCACGAAGTTCGAGAGGTGTATTGCACGAAACTTTGGAGGTATGTGTGTCTGCACCATCCATTGGCCTTTTGAGTCCAAGTGTTACTTTTCTCTATCTTACATCTTTTTGGGCTCCTTTTCTCTTTGGCCTTGTTCCCTGTTCCTTACCATCCTGTTCTAGTTCTGTCTTTTGTATAGCGTGCTGTGTTTCCGTATATAGACTGAGCCAGAGTCTAGTCCTGTCTGTCCTGCTCTCTAGGTTCTTAACATCTGCTTTTGATATCGCCCACCGAGAAGTTCTGTGTTTCTTCTCCCCTCACCTTTCCCCCTCATCGCCATCACATCCACTCCTCACATTTCACCTTCCAAGCTCAACCATCTCTCCTTTCCTTTCCCATCTTTCCCATCTTTCCCATCTTTCCCATCTTTCCCATCTTTCCCCTCTCGCACCCGCCTCCCCCTCTCTCAGGCCTGTCCCGTCTGCGTCTGCGCCTGTCCCTGCTGTTCGACCTGATTAACCCCCCTCAGAACCCCGCCCCCCTCCACAGCCCTCACCACCCCCTTCCCCAACCCCAGCCTCTTCTCAACCTCCGCCTCAATAACTCCCCTCTTTTTCAGTTCAAACACATCCTTAACCATCTGCACCGCAAAACTGCCTGCCCTTGAAGGACTTATCGTTTCTGCCAAACTTATCCATCTCCTCTTCGTACGCTTGCTCGAGATGCTTGCGAGCGTCGAGCGCGGTGAGCGTGGGGTTGGTGGTGAGGTGGGGGAAGTGGGGGGTTAGGAGGGAGGGGATGTTTTCTTTTTGGGGAGAAGACGTTTGCTGTTGGGGTGATTGGGATTGGGTCTGAGAAGGGAAGCCAGGAGGGAAGCGAGAAGAAGATGAAGGAGGAAGATTCTGCGACTGAAGCTGCGGCTGCGGATGAACGGATACCGTTGATGAAGGCGAGTGGATGGGATTCGGCTGGACGGTAGCAGAGAGCTGGCGGAGACGGGCGGCAAAGGCCGGGTCGCCGATTGCGTCCAGGGGAGATCCGGTGCCGGTTGAAGATTGGGTGGAGGTGGTGGTTGTTGATGGCCTTGTGGGTTGATGTCCTTGTCGTCCCTGGTGGTGATGGTGGAGGGAATCTTGAGTCGGCGGCGGTGGTGGTGATGCTGCTGCTGCGGGGTTGGGGATGTTAGTTCAGGTTAGGTCATTCGCAAATCACCAAGCCAGAGTCGGGATGTTTATATAGTGAGGGCGTAAATATTACTTACATTCATAGGCATTTGTCGAAGCTGGTTCCACCGGCGACTGCGACGCCTCCTGCTGTCCCCCGTTTACGCGAGGAGGAGGGGAAGCTCTTGGTGCAGCGGCGGCGGCGCCAGATCGCGACGCAGCGGCGAGGGAGGCGGCTGTCGCATTTTTGGGTAGTTTGCGCGCAACTTTTGAGGACTCAGCGCCCATTGTGACTGAATATAAATAGACAAAATTTGGGAAGTTGTGGTTCGGTTGTTCAAGCTCACAGTCAGTACAGTCAACCGAAGAGTTGATGTGTCGTCATTGATATTGTGACAGGGGTAGCTTGAAGCTAGTTTGATCTGAGGGTTATCTATGGGGACGGGAGTGGTCTGCACAATGTCTTGGCAGCAATGGTTGATCTTTGGTGAGTTCTTTCTGCCACCATATTTCTCCTTCTTTACTGCTTTATTGAGATTGATTGATGCTATGTTCACTCTTCTATTACTTCTGAACACATGATAGTCATTGGTTCTTCTTCACATGCTGGTATCGCGACCTGGCTACAAGAATCCGTCAACCTCACCTAACCCTGATTACCTTCCGCCCTTACCCCTAACCCTACATTTCTTCCTCCCGAGTGCCGATGCTCCATATCAGAATGGAGAGCTCCCAGATTCGGTCACTTACAAGTTTACTCCGATATCGGGTTCGCTCAACTGACACGGTCGACAGGTCCAGGATAGCTGGACCTGGATTCTCTCATCTTATTTCTCTGATAAATTTATCGACTGCTATTGGCTCAGGGTCGTTGGTGTAAGTGGGAACAGGGTGCTGCTCCGTTATTGTCAAGAGTGATGGATGGATTATTACGACGATGGTTCGGATGAGGTCTGCCAACAGTATCAGTGAAGTGTCAAACATCCTAACATCCTAAGTCACATTCCCAAAGTAAGTGTATGAGCGATATTAGCTAGCTGGTGTGAGGCGTTGTTCTGCCGCCATAAAGGTATTATGGTAGGTATCCTCGAGACTCATCCGAAGGTGGTGTTTGGATTGTCCTTCAACGGCTTTGTGTGAGTGAGAAACGAGCTTATGTTAAATGCCATCGCGTACTGATAAACGAACAGGGCAATAGCCATGCTTTAATATTACCAAGCAATGGTGAAACTATAGCCAAGCAGCTAGATTGGGACACTATCCAGAGCCCGTCCGGCTTTGCAGACACGCCAACACACATATCAGAAACAATTCCATCGATTAGTCCGGAGCCCAAGGTCTTATGTCAACTTGGCAGATTGCTTAGATATTCTCCTACAGGCAAGGCGGTTTGTTGGCTCAAGATCAAGCATGAAACTCCTCGATAGTTCCATATCTCTCCTCAGGTGCCGTTACATGGCTGATGGATCCCCCGAGAGTTAAGGCCGCAGAAAAGTGATCGGTAACTGGCACCATAAGTTGAGCCTCATTGCCAAGTGCATGAAGGACGGGCTTCCGTCGGACTCTTGACTTCAGGCTTGATAACATCGGTGGTGGAGACATGCTGCGAGCACGTCTTAAGACGCCAATTGTATGCGTGTCTACGGTACGGAACGTTACCCGTCCGGACGGGATTCCGATAGATTTTCCGGACTAATGCATCAACCGCACTCTTGGGACGGGTTACCAACGTGTTGAGAAGCTGTTGCTACTTGGCAGGTTGCTGGGTTTCAGGCGCAGGATGTGACTGTTTGACTGCAGTCTGTCACCCTCAGGTAGACGGGATATGCTAACAGCAGTCACTAAGATCTATGACATGTTAGCAAGCCCATCAATGGCATGTGATAATGGATCAGTTTCAACGACAGACTGGAGTTTCTACGCGAACTTCTCCCAACCCCCTACCCGCCCGTAGACCGTGCCATGCCGGCAGTGAGCATCAAATTCCGCCCGACTGCCAGACTGAAAGGAGCCGACTACCGTGGAGCGATGAAAAGAACGAGGAGTCCAGCTGGTAAGAGTCGAGATAAGCAATGGAGAGGGAAGTGGACATGTTTGTTCATTGTTTGTGAACCGGTTGCTTGGCAGTTGGGTGATGGTTGGTTCTGGACTCATGTCGTCGGGTCTCTTTATTTCGATCTTTCGGTCTTGTCCCAGCTCGCGATGCCATGCCGTGGGAAGTATGGGGAAGTTGGGGGGGTTGAACAGGGAATGGCTGGTGAAAGCACCGACGTGGTCCCATCAGATGCCATCACGCAATAGAGACCGTGGGAGGCTGGGAGACTGGAGAGGGCTAGAACGGTGGCCAAGAACTCTAGCAAAACCGGTACCGCTGTCCGTATAGCGCCGTGTCCCCCACGGAAACGGTTCCGAAGTCGATCGGGTCCCGGTCCATGTCGAGCGATGAGGCAGCATGAAGCCATTGCCAGTCCGGGCCGAGCTGAAGCCAAGAAGTCATGGAATTGGGCGGCGCTGTCCGGATGTTTGGATCGTGCATGACGGCATCACGGCTGTAGATAAAGGAGACGGTGTTGTATGGTCCGTGGTTGACGGTGATGGATCTCGCAATGGACTCGAATGGGCCTGGGATGGACCTGGGTGCGGATTCCGTGACTCAGGTAAACTCGACGAGGTCCACAGAGAGGTTGATGTGGCCCGAGCTTGATCAAATTGGGACTTGTGCCTGTCTGTCAGGGACCGTCAGGAACCGCTAGGGGCTGACGGCCAGGCGGTCTTCGGCGGGATTGCCCCGAACTGGCACCATGGGGCGGGCGTTGGGCGGGGTCCACTGCAAGATCGTCATCCTCAATTTTCACACAGAAAGTCCACTTCAAACTGAAGTGTCAACAACAAATGTCCACTCTGACTGTTTTGAAATCGAACCCAAGAGGGCGTTCAGCGGAAGGGACGAGAGAGCATGCATGGTGAATGTGTTCTTATAGGCATATATTTTGTATGTAGTATTCCGGGCGGATATGTTGGTTGATATGTTGGTTGATATATAGCTGACCCCCACGGCTTGTTAGGAGCGCATTTCATCCGACATTGTCTGCTTTGTAAAAGAGGTTGGTGAAGTCTTCGGAATACAGTTCCTGTTGAAGTTGTATTTTAGAGAGTCGGTCGGAAAAAAACACCACTCAGTTAAGCACTTGGCGCACCCATTACACACGTGGTGTTCGTCACGCCATGCTGCTGCTGTCCGGTCAGAGTTCGTTGAATTGAACAAGATGCAAACGATTCGCCAGTGTCTTCATTCGTCGCCTGCTTGCCACATGTAAGTCTTATTACACGGAAATACGGCTTATAGGCCGTCTCAGCCAATGCGGGAGAATGTTTGGCCCCGCAGTTTGTCGCAGCGTTGCAGCAGCAATTCGTGCAAGTGCAGGGCTTTGCAGGGCACTATCAAAATCTTTCGCGCCATCCCCTTTGCAACCGTCGATGTTACGGGGAAAGAGCAGAACACTGAATCCCCGCTTCGTCCACGACTCCTTCTCAGTCCCGTCACTGTCACTGTAATGTGCTGAGTGACAAGTGCTCGCTCTTGCTGTATTCAGTCGGCTTTTTTGTTACTGTTCAATTGCTTCTCCTTCATTACGCGTCCAAAGTTGTCTTCCACTTTGAGACCCTCAAGAGACTACATATCCGTCTCTAGCATCACTCAGGCACCGGCCAGGCTCGACCAGTGACGGTACATACATATCTAATCCGTTCTCTGAATATTGCATATAGCTTTGCACCACAATTCGACAATCCACATCCGCATCAACTGGTGTCTTGGCTTTTGGCAATTGCTAAAGGCATCGGCCTGGTGTTGCTTCAGCTGTGACTCTTCACTCCTGGGACGAAGCCGTAGTTCGACCGGCGACTACCCCATCGCCAAACGTGATTGGATCGATTCGGCTGGGTCCGAGTCTGCATTGGTCCGCGAGACTAGAGAGGCCCGAGAGGGTAGCAGCAGCAGCAGCAGCGGAAGACGGAAGACGGGACAGAAAGAAGAGAAGCTCTGCCAGGTACCTTACCCATCGCCAGGTGCGGCGCCATCAACCTTAAACACGCTGGGCTTCCCCCCCCCCCCCCCCAACTTCCCGATCTCGGATTCCCAATCTCTTCATCATCACCCTCGACCACCGCCCATCGCCCATATCGCCCATCCCTCCATCGCGACACCGGACCACCACTACGACGCCTGTCCGGATCACATCCCGGATCATCGGGTCGCCCCCATCACGCGACCACCGCGCCGCCCTGGACGTCTACCGACCCTTTGACGCTACCGGCCCGCCCATCATATCCTCCGACCGATTGACGACTGCCGTGCCGCTCCGGACGCCACTCCCGCGATTCGACACGGTCCGGTTATAGGAGCAGTTGACAAGTGAGACCACTTTAGCTCCGAGTACTCTGTATCACAACAGAAGCATACACACCTATATACTATACTGTTCCCATCACAATGGAAAGCCCCGAGTTCTCGGCTGGTATGCGCAGCCAAGGCCCCAACGGTGGCCCCCCGAAGCGCAAGCGCAGCATCATGGAAAGCAGTCCTGCTAGCACGGGAGAAAACGACCGTGACGACCGCGACGACGGCTCCCCCGAGACCAAGGGTGGCCGCCGACTCCCTGGTGTGAAGCGCGCTTGCAACGAGTGTCGTCAACAAAAGGTATGAATCCGACAAGACAACTGCCGCATAATGAACCTTCTTTTGCTGACACTTCCTCTTTCGTACAGTTGCGATGCGATGTTGTGCAAGAACCCTTTTCGAGCTGCTCACGATGCAACCGTCTACACCTCGATTGCAAGATCGAATCCAACTTCAAGCGTATCGGGAAGCGCAGTAAGCATGCGGAGATGGAAAAGGAGATCGATAAGCTCAGACGCGCCGTTCAAAGCGCCAAAGCCCAAGGTTTTGTCGTCGATGAGGACAACGACAACGACACTCCGGGCAACGCCACACACTCCCAGTTACACTCCCCTGTCGTCAACAGCCACTACTCGCACACAAGGAACCCTTCATTGATGGGTTCCGACGAGGCTGTGTCTTCGCTGCTGCACTTGAAGCGTGGAGGCTCTTATGCCATGCCTAGGATCGTGCGTGAGCTTGAAGACTTCAGGATAACCGAAGACGACGAAAGCGTCCTGTTTAACGACTACTTCCACTACTATCACCCATTTCTCCCATTCCTCAATCCCCACCAGACCCCAGACCAGTACTACCAACAGTATCCTTTGCTTTACTGGGCTATAGTGGC